AGTAGGGAAGTGACTTCAATATATATACTAAAAAGGATGTGAATTCTAAGAACTTTGTAAGACTGGTAAGCAATATTTTCAATAAACAATATCTGGCAGATATACTTACTGTTAAGCAGAGTAAATAAACAAAGATAATCATTAGAAATTGAAAATGATAATAATGAAAGCAAAAAAAAATAACAACAAGAATAATAATCCAGTAATAGCAATAATAATAAGAATGTTGAATAATAGTAAATGTAATCATAAGACACCATAAATTCACTTGAATGTTACTTTTCTACTACTTTGAAAATGTGCAGACCATTTCTTAAACCTCCTGACATTAAGGTTCCATGAATTACAGGGTCATAAGATGAGCCAAACATGACAATATAGCAAATAGAGTACGGTATAAAATGTCTCTTTCCACAAACACCGGGAATGCATGTATATGTATATGTAGATATGGCTACTGTGGTTTTGTATTATCAATTTTACTTACACACTAATGACCTTAGAAATGCTTTGTCACCAAGGAGTCAATTATCAGGATTACTTGACCTCACCTATTTACCCTAGGCCTTGAATTTTCATGAAAGAAAGTTTTTATTTTTCTTAGTTATGCTGCTCAGAAAACTAAAGTAATACAAGTAATAACAATGACAACAGCATTAATACTCATAATGACTGCAGTAGAAATAGACCTTTTTTCACAAAAATTGAAGATACAGGATAAAGAAATGAGTGTAGGTAGGTCTAATAATTGATTACCTAATGGTTTGTGAAGCCATCTATTTGCAAGCATAATTAATAAAACGAAACCACAGTAGACACATGGATACAGTACCAATCTGCGTAAAAAGGAAGAATACTCATGCATAACTGATGAAAGAATTTAATATTAATTCACAGAAATTGCCAAAAGTATCTGTAAATTTAAAATTCTTAAAGTCTACCCTTTAATGTCTTGGTATAGTGGCAAGATTTAATTCTTTGCAATAGCTTTGAAAAATATTTCTCCATACAAGAAAACAGCTTGGCTCAATTTCCCTCTACTTAAAAAAACTAAGGACTTGTACACTATTATGGTTTCCAGATTCATTCTTGTCTAAGTTTTATATAAGTTTCAAGTTAATACGCTTTTTTTGGTAAACAAGGTTAAAAATATATATCATCAAATGGTCAGTAATATATTATAAGGCAACTGTTCCTAATAATTTTCATCACTACATGAAAGATGCATAAATCTCAATCATAAAGCACAAGTGTTGCAGCAATTGTAAAAACAGATATTATTTCCTTAATTTTTAAATGTTAAATTGCATTCTATAAACCTAGGAAAATACTGGTGGCATAGTTAAAGGCCTTCAGAGAACCATTGTAATAACCAAACTGACCACAGCTACAAATGATTCACAAAATCCAAGCATTACCTAAATAACTGACTTATTTATTACTTACATTATTCCTCAAGGATACTGCAGCATGTTTCATAAACTAAAGCAGCTTAGCAAATATTCTCACCAGTTCACAATATAAAAATATTACTGTATTTTTTGACCCACTTTATGTAATTAAATCCTGACCATTTAATATAGTCTTGTGAATGACATTCACCTTTTTTCAATCACAATAATGCACATTTTGTAAGATTACAGGTATAACTCAGTTCCATTCTTTACTATTTGTAAAAGTAGTTGGTAGTTTGTTGTATGTACGTGTGAATGAAAGAGTTGTGTCAGTGAAAGTATATGTTAGAATTTCACTGTCTTTGTGTGTGTATCACTGTTGAGTATCCCTGTCACATCTGATAAAATCCAACTAAAACCTTCATTGCAGTGGTTTACTGTTTCACATCCCATAATTATTTATGTAACTCAACAAGAACAAAAAGTGGACCCGAGAAGGAGTTTCCATTTGGGCAGTGTTCTTCAGTTATTTTCGGGTCTGTGTTTTTTGTGTGTGACCATGGGAAAGAATCTGTACATATATGCTTTGTACAAAATTGTTTACCTAAAACTCAAAATAGTCAAAATGCTCTGTTCTTCTACTTTTAGACAGTGTATATTCAGTAGTTGTGCTTCATTATTCTTCTAACTCCTAAATATTAATTAAAAAATACAGAAAGAAAAATATGTCCTTTTAACTCATTTTTTTTTCTTTTATTATTATTATTAATCTTTAAATTCCACACACACAGACTAATAAAGTAATATTTCTATGAATATCAACACCATTTGACTACAGACAGGTGGGAGTATATAAGTTTCCAGCCATAATAATTATCCACGTACAAAAAGCAAGCATACTTTTGTTAATCTTGCATTCAAATCAAAATACAAAATGCTTGCACAAGGATAATGTATTTAAATACAAGATGTCATACGGCTTCATTCAATAAAATGACATGGAATGCTAGTGCATAATAATGATTTCAACAATTCATAAACTACTCAAATAAAATGCAATTAACAGGATATTACTAGGATATGACACTGTAATGACTGGCTTCAATCACCAGATTATCATAAATTACTACTATATCAAATTCTCTGGATAAAAGTAGTAATTGTCTTACCATGTAAATTGTCCGTCTGCTCAACTCCAATGGAGTTATTTAGAACTACATTCAAGTAATAAAGGTTTCATGCTCTATGTTAATATAGATGCAGAATCTTCAAATGCTTGTTTTACTTGGCCACAAGGCTGCTTGGCCATCATAACCCTAACACATTTCTTCTAACCCAAGGATGAAATGACAGCTAATAATGGATAAGATATAGCTTAGAGGATCTATTTCACTGTAGCATCATTTGCTGATTCTAAAAAAAGTGTAATCTGATCCTATTTATAATCAAGCCTTTCTAAAGTCATATAAACATCCAATGATACACTAAATGAACAAAATGAATACTGATTTCCAGCACTTTTTGGCAGTACATCAGTTCCATTTACGTGAGGACCAAATCACAGAATGTAATCGTTATCTCATGAAATGTGGATGATCACTATTTTGAAAAAAATTTAATACAAAGTTTTTCCTAAGACCTTAAAAAAGGCATAATAGTCAGAGCAAACCACAAAGAAATCTGTGCCTATTCGGCTTTGTCTACTATCATTCACTCAATTCTTTTTTATCTCATAAATTTGATAATAAAATCACCAATCTACATGCTAGAGCAATGTACATCTACATGTAAAAGAATATTATTTTTTTACATGTAGAAGTATACATGTATGTTGACATAAAAAATAAATGCTGTATTCAAGTGAGTTAAAATGTCAAAATTTTATATAATATTTGTAGAATGACACAAACCACAGCTACATGGTGGATCATCTTTGTAAAGATATAAAAAATGAGTAACTCTTACTATCTTATCCTTGAACTATTTTTTCTTTTTTTCAAACATAAATAGCCCAAAGTTATCAAGCTATTAATATCTGCAATTTCCTAGTCCTCCCAAGTTTCATTGTGAATATTATTGTCTTGAAAATATACTGTCCCTGATTACTGATAAAAAAGAGAAACACACTAATATAAAAACATCATTCACATATCTATCCTTCCAACTCCCTAAAAGACTACACATACTGACATCTTAAGCGGTAGGGGAAATAGAATGAAGAAAAAAGGTGAAAAGAGGAGGAGGGTTTACATCCAACACCCGTCTATACCGTGGTAGGGAAATAGAATGAAGAAAAAAGGTGAAAAGAGGAGGAGGGTTTACATCCAACACCAGTCTCTGATCTCATAAACAACACTCACTACATTATCTAAGCTTTCTTCTACTCAAAATAATCCAGACTTTTGAAATACTTACAACAATATGTGTATAGATACTCTAAAACTTGACTTTCCTAAGCACCACACTACCTCTGGCAATTCTACTGCATATAGCAGCTTGTTATTTGTGCCATTTTTGCATGAAACAGAAGCCAAAATTGGAAATAAGGAGTATCATACATTCTATACAGATTAGAGATATGAATTGCATGAGAGTAAGCAGTTTTTTTCTTTGAAAAATGTATGGACAACAAAAATCTGTTAAATTTTCATTATGAGAAGGCACCTTACTATTATTTCCCTCCAAGTAAAATGAAATCTTTCAATACCAATACTAAACATTTCTCTAACTCTTATCATAACAAAACATAAAAGGATATCCATATTTAAAGTTTCTTGTTTTTTTTTAATCAAACATAACCCTAGTCTTGGACACTGGCTACAGATGATAACTAAATAGAAATAATGAAAAATGAACAGACATCATATACTCATAAAAATGTCATAGAGACAGGGTATCATCCCTAGACATAAAATTTAACTGATTTTTCACCTTAATTTCTGAGGAGTTTATTGAAAGACTAATAATAAAAAGGAAATAAAACAATATAGTTCTGTATGATCCAAAAATACCCCTAAAAATAGTGAATGGTCCATCCCCTTAATATCAGTCTTAAAAAATACATCACGTTGAGCATTAACACATATATTCAATGCAAAATAAAAAGAAAGCATTTGATTACATATCTCAATAAACAGGGAAAAACATAATATGTAACAAAATAAAATGTAAATTAAATCAAATATCAAATCCATAAACAAAAATAACTGCTATAGGCAATTCTATCGGTCAATTGTTAATATTTTTTTAAATAAAAATTGAAGATCAAACCATAATAACCTTCATAACATATTTAGTGAAATGATTCATGCAGCACACTGATGTTTGATTTTACATCCTAGACTCCCTTTTTTGCAAGGGCTAGGACAGTGCCTTCTTTGATTTTTTTTTATGAGACGGGTACAGGGAATTACCAGAGCGGATGCATTTCCAAACCTGAGCCTGTAAACCCACTTCTCTTGGAAATGTTATTACTGCTAAGCCAGGCTCCTTACCATGATTTATATATCAGATTCAAAAAGGGAATCCAAATATGCAATATCTCAAAAAGGTGGATTGTAATTAAGGTCCAATAAATATATCAGTTCTCTTAATCAGGTATCAAAATCATGAAGAAATTCTCAAATAAAATGCAGACACAAGGGAGGCACTCCTATTGTTTTATGTAATGTGTTATAATGTACATTCTCTTTTTTTTGAGGAATACACAGTCTAAAATCTGTAGGTAACCCAGCAGATGGAAGGCACTGCTCCCTCCTTTTTACTTGCATTTTCTTTTTATTGTTATCACAGACAATAAGCCTCAGGTACATTCTAGTTTTGCTGTTCTTGTCAATGATACCATGGTTTAGTCACCACAACAGTGCCTATAATATCTTATTACAGTCATTGCAAGAATATTATACTACAGTGTTTGAAAGTGACTGTCAAGAACTTGAAGTGATTGTTATGAACATAAAAAATGAAAAGCTTTGGAAATATTTATTTTTGTGATTAAAGAGAATCTAGGAGAATAAATTAGGATGTGATTAAAGTTTACATAACAAATAAGTGAACATATTCTATTAAGCCAAATTTTGATGAATATTGCCAATCTATAAATAAACTGCAAACCAACATTTCCATCCAATTTATATATGAACCAGAAAAAAATTAATGAAGGCCAAAGCAGCCCAGCTGAGCATTTCATTGTTTATGTTTCTTACCTTCCTCTAGTGTTAGTAGAATCACTTTAGGTTCTTTTCATAACTAAATTACAGACAAAATGAATAAAAGCACTGACCTTCTGTTGTTGTTGACAATGTCCATGTAGTCAATGGACCTTGCATAGAAGCCATCCTCATTAAGAGCTCCCCAAAATGTCGACCATGCCTGGCCAGCACGAACCATCACTGCACCTAAAATTGGCCTTTAACAAATGGAAAAACAAATAAGATGTAAGTCAAAATTACAAAATTAATTGCAAGAATTCACAATACAATATACCTATCAAAATTAATATGTAATTTGTAAACAATGCAGAATCTCATTCAGATAAGGATAACTTAGTCGCAACACATTTCATTTGGAAATAAGTATTAGAATAAATCATATTATAAGTACTGGTTGAACATGATCAAATAAAACATATCTATTCTATAGCAACTGAAGTAGTAGTCACAGGAATAATAATCAAATGCAAGGAATTTATACCCTTAGCAACTTGTAGATACTAAAAACACATGGCAAAGACATCAAGCAAAAGATAAATGTGTTTCAGAGATGCAGTTTTAATCATGTCCAATTGAAATTTGTGATTCTCTTGACCAACCTGTTCTGGCTTAGAAGGTGTGTCAAAGTCTCTGGATTATCTAGATGAATATCACCATCAACACTAAAATATGCATCACAATCCTTCTTGAGGCAATGCTCCCTGAAGAAGAAAAAAACATAAATCACAAGAAATACTCAACTTTCACCTGCCCACATATGAAAGTAAATGCACCTACAAAAAACTCAAATACAGGTACAGACATAGATAATAGTATACATACATCATGCATTAAAAAATGTATAAAAACATGTATAAATACATGTGTGCACCTGTACACATACACACATAGATATGCACAAACACACGCACACGCAGAAACACACACACACACGCACACACACATGCACACACACACACGCACAAAAAGAAAAAAAAATGTATACTAAGGTACCTAATAAAGAATATAAACTAATTCTTTATTATTTATTTTTATGTGATACTTACACTGCAAGATTGCGTGCATGCCACTCCTTTATGTTATCGGCTTCAGATATGAACTTTGTGCTACGGTACCCTGCTGACTTCTGCCTTGACATCCACTCATCCACAAGTTGTACATGAAGTTTTTCCTGTTAAAATGTGCAAGTAGTTAAAACTTATTCACAATGCATTAAAAAGAAAATTGTCTGGTTTTGGAATGTAATTTTATAACTTAATTATAATATGAATTTTAAGTCTTTTTGTATCAGGAGCTTAAAAAGGATATGTTATGCTCTACAACAACATATAATCTCTCACTCTTTTCCTGAATGCTCTTAACAAAAATAATATACCCAATAATATATTGTTCTGTAATTTCATAGAAACCAATTTCCTACCTGATTATGAACAAACAGATCTATTCTGTCCTTTGGATAATCAAGATTGGCAACTTTGTCTAGCATCTCTTCCAAGAAAGGCATTGGTTTCTCCACAAAAACAGCTAGTAACACAACAGGGTATTCTGACCTCTGAAAAGGAAATCAAAGCCACATCAGAATGTTACTGCACTTAAGGCAAACCATAAAAAGGCTACTATTACTAATATATGTATATATATATTTTTACATTATTAGTCGAACATTTGCCAGAGTTACTGATATTTTACAGAAAGACATGTGTTCTAATAAAACAAACGTAAAACCATAAATTCCTTACCGCAAGTTCCTTTAGATCTTTAGTGTTCTCTTTGCATGCGAGGCAGTCCTGATCATAGACCCATGACTTCGCCAAATAATTGCCAAGAGAATTTAGAAGAATTTTTGATGGGCCATTACCATGAATTACTACAGGTGATGACTGGTAGACAGTATTTACTATTACGGTGTCATCTTCATCAAATTTCATAGATACATCACCTACAAATATGAAATCATATGCAGAATGTAAATTAGCATAAGGAAATATAGCAAACAAAAATTAATTTCTACAGAAAAATAGAAAAACTACAGGTTTGAA